TGATAGACAAGGGTCTATTACAGGCCATTCTATTATGCTTCGTTGTTTATTTTTATACTAGTAAAATACTATTTTATATGACATTTACTGTCTTTATACTATGTGTCTCCCTTTCTTTCTTTTAAAAACAGTATTTCTGGTTATTTATTCCATCAGATGAGCTTTATGCCTATCTTTAAAATTTCCTTAAAAAGAAAACCCTTGGAATTTTTACTGGAATTGTATTGAGGATATAAATTAATTTGTGAAAAATTAACATCTTTAAAGTATTATGTTTTCTTACCTACAAACATGGCATGTCTTTCCATTGGCTGAATTTTTACAATGTCTCTTAGTAAACTTTTATAATTTTTATTGCACAAGCCCTGTACATTTGTTATTAAGCTTATACTTAGAAATTTTATATTTTTGTTGCTGTTGTGAATGGAATATTCTTCCTCATTATATTTTCTAGCTGGCTCTCAGTTATTGAAGATAGCTATTGATCTTTGTACTTTTTAAAAACTTTTTTGTGTTTAATTTATAACTACTCCCCTTACTGAATTATCTTGTTCTAATAGTATTTCAATTATTCAGGATTTTCTAGATAGGCTCTCATATTGTTTGCAAAAAAGAACACATTTGTGTCTCCTTTTTCTCAAAGGTTAGTAGTTCTTATTTGTTTTTCTACCTTGTTGCATTGACCAGAACTTCTAAACTGATGAAATAGTAGTAGTGAGAGTAGGAGGTCCAGTGAATCTTCAGAGAAAGTTGTAGGACTGGAGCCAGATCTGACCCATTCCCAGCCCTGCCATTGCCTCCTGAAACTCCATTCACCCATTTGTGAAATATTTTATGATGTCCCCTCTGGGTCAGACCCAGTGCTGGGTCCTTGAGACCAGAGATGACTTATCAGAGGGCTTCCCAGTCCTTTGTGAAGTATATTCCTCTTTTGTTTCTGCCTCTGAGCCTCAGTCACCTAAAGCCCTCTAGTCTCTCCATCTCTCAACCCTCCCTGCAGGGAAGGAGCTCAACATAGTTCCCATTCCTGTGCTCTTCTTAGCACTTGAGGTTCCTTTCTGTCTTCTAGTCCCATGTGGCTCTGATAACTAGTCCAAGCAGAGTCCACCATTCCCTTTGCAGAGAGGGAAGGTGATTTACTCAAAGTCACACAAGCTCCACTTGAGGACACACAGGCTTGTTGGCTAGAGAGTGAATCTGGTGATTTAATTCTTGTCCCTATCAAGGTGTAAATGATTAACTCAACTTTGTATATTTTTTATATCTCTCACGGGGGAATTTGCAGGAGTATGGCTGGGAAGATGTCATGTCTTCCTTTTTTTTTGAGTTGGAGTCTCACTCTGTCACCCAGGTTGGAGGGCAATGGCATGCTCACAGCCACTGCAGCCTCAACCTGCTGGCTCAGGTGATCTTACTGCCTCAGCCTTCCAGGTAACTGGAACAACAGGTGCATGCTACCAAGCCTGGCTAATTTTTTGGTTTATTGTAGAGATGAGGGCTTGCCACGTTGTCCAGTCTGTTCTCGAACCCGTGGACTCAGGCAATCCTCTCACTTCGGCCTCCCAAAATGCTGAGATGTCATGTCTTCTTTATCCCAGAAGTCATCTCTGTACCTGCCCAGGGTTACCTTGAGAAGCAACTTCATCTGGCTCCCCTTCAACTTCCTCCAGCCTGATTTTTGCTGTGATCCCCTTCAGAGATTTACCTCGGTCTAGATGAAGTTCTCCCCAGCTTCTGCTGGTCCCCCACTTAATACTGGATTGTAGTTTTTCATCTGCAGTGTATTAAAATGTCAAGAGTTTGGACTCTGAAACCAGACTGCCAGAGTCTAAATCCCACTTACTAATTATATGACCTTAGACAAGTGATATGTCCTTGCTGTTCCCTAGTTTCCTCTTCTGTAAAATGGGCATTGTAATAGTTACTACTATCTAGATTTGGAAGATTAAATGAATTAATATGTGTCCAAGGCTTGGAAGAGCAGTCAGTAAGGCCAGGTGCAGTGATGCGTGCCTGTAATCCTAACACTTTAGGAAGCCGAGGCAGAAGGCTCACCTGAGGCTGGGGATTTGAGACCAGCCAGGGCAACATAGTGAGACTCCCATCTCTATAAAAATAAAATAAAATAAAAAATTAGCCAAGCGTGGTGGCACATGCCTGTAGCCCCAGCTACTCGGGAGCTGAGGCAAGAGGATCACTTGAGCCTAGGAGGTTGAGGCTGCAGTGAGCCATTATTGCACTACTGCACTCCAGCCTGGGTGATAGAGTGAGACCCTTTCTCTAAAAAAAAAATAATGATAATAACAGGCCGGGTGTGGTAGCTCAGCCTGAAATCCCAGCACTTTGGGAGGCCGAGGCAAGAGGATTGTCTGAGCCGGGGGTTGAAGACCAGCCTGGGCAACTTGGTGAGACCTCATCTCTACAATAAATAAAAAAATAAGCCAGGCGTAGTAGCATGCACCTGTAGTTCCAGCTACTTGGAAGGTTGAGGTGAAAGGATTGCCTAAGTCCAGCAGGTGGAGGCTGTGGTGGCTGTGATGGTACCACTGCACTCCAGCCTGGGCGACAGAGTGAGACTCCAACTCAAAACAACAACAGCAACAAAACCCACCAAAAAAAAAAAATCACTCCATGGATGCTAGGGCTTGCTATCATGACCAGTCTCTGCGTTGCCCCTTGAGAGTTCCCCATGGGTGTGAGCTGTGTCTGTTCCCCACTATGATATTCCCTGTGTTCTGTTTATCCTGAAACTTGGCTTGTGGTAGATATTCAATAAATATCTATACTCGTTGATATTGTACTGGGCAAGGATTGCATCTCAAACACTGTGCTGACTGCTGAGAATGTAGAGATAAATCCAGAAGTAACTGGGTCTTGGTTTTCCCTGTCTGTAAAATGACAGTAGGCTACAGGAAGCTTTCTAAGCCCTGCTCCTATCAGCTGCACACAGAGGTGGGCAAGGGTGGCCCAGGAGGAGCTGCTATCCTTTTTTGGCCATTGGAATCCTCAGTAGCCCATGGGTCCTTGCACCATGGACATAAAAGGCATTGCACCGGGCTTCGGAACAGCCCAGGGTGGGACAGTGTCTGTGAGGTACAGCTGCAAGCAAGTTCTGTCCCAGAGGTGGGGCTCTGCAGAAGATGTGACCTGGAGGGTCCCAGGGAGATAGGAAGTTGGGGTTCTGGGGTCCTTCGACCGGGGGCAGCTGGGGAGAGGGGGAGAGACTGTGGGAGAGGTGTCCAGGCTTGCCATTTGCAGATGGGGGTTTGGAAGTCAGACCTAGTCTGGGAACCTCGTCTGCCTCGGCCTCTTACCAGCCAGTAAGCTGATGCTGGACCTGCCTCTGTCCTTCCCTGGAACAGGCAGATGCAGTGAGGACTCAAGGAGTTGGTGCACAGGGCAGGCCTCACACAGTGTCTGCTGGGAGTAGATGAGCAGCAAAAGGCTGTACCCTCCCTCTTGAAGGCTCTTTCCCATCCATGCAGTTATTTCTGATGGAGATTGATCACGGCAAGATTTGGAAGGTCTGAATTCTGATGAAGAAAAGAACCAAGTGGGAATTAATTAAAGTTGGCCAGACCACCCCTCCTGTGTGTCACGGCTGTTACCACTGGCGTCTTGCCTAGAAACCTGGTGCGCGCGCGTGCGTGTGTGTGTGTGTGTGTGTGTGTGTGTGTGTGTGTGTAAGAAACTCAGTCTCAGAGAAGTGCAGTGACTTGCACGAGGTCCCACTGTGAGTCTGTGGCAGCTCCCGGACTTCATGCCAGGATTTCTGACTCTGAGCCCAGCTGAGGCAGGGAGGGGAGAGAGCCCCAGGGTGGAGTGGGGCTGGGGACAGGGATTAGGAGCTCTGAGAAGGTGACGCAGGGCAGACCAACTTTCCACAGGGCTGTCTCCTGGGTAATTTAACCAGGTTTGGCCGAATGAGAGGAGCCACAGCCAAGAGCACTCCTTGGGACCCCATGAGCGAGGTGGCGGATGAACTCTGTGGGCCCTTTGCCCCATGCTCTTAGGAGCCTGGATCTGTGTAGTGGGGACTCTACCTTATGCTAGGTGCAAAGAGTGCTTGCCTCCGACGGGGGACTTTGCCTGTCAGTTTTTCTCCAATGTGCTGCCTATTCTCACTTATTGGGTCCAGGGATATCCCAGAGTCACAGATCTAGGGTGGTAGTCTCAGTTCTGCCAGTGCCTCATCCTGGAGCCTCAGACCGTCCTTTTGCTTCTCCTGGTTTCGGTTTCCCCAGATGTATCATAGGAGTAATAACACTTTCTTGGCCCACATCATGGGGCTCTTGTGGAAATCTAGTGAGGTGAGGGAGGTTGCAGACCGTGAAGGGCTGGTCACGGGTGTAGGGGGCCTTTAGTGCATCGAGCCTCAGATAATGAGAGACCAGAGAGGTGGACGTCAGCCTTCTGCAAAATTGAAAAGTATCGATGTACTTCCTGGACGTGTCTCTCAGGACCTCCTGAGAGCCCCAGGGAAACGAGTCAGTAGATAGTTCTGGCCACACACACAGGCAGAGACCGGTCACCTGTGTGGTGGGTCCAGAGTTGAGTTGTACAAGGAGACCTCCCAGCTGTGTCTTGAAGAATGGCTGTGACTTGGCTAGTGGCGATGGGAAGGCGGTTTTAGGTGGGGGTGACTGCCTGAGCAGGAGCCTGGCGGCGGGACAGCGAAGGGCGTGGCTGAGGAGTGCAGGGATCCTCTCTGTGAGTTTGACTGAGGAAGGAGAGCACAGTCTGGCCAGGATGGCTGGGGCCGGATTACAGAAGACTTGGGACCCTAGAAGGAGGAGTTTGGCCTTTGTCATCACACAGTCAGTGGGGAGCTATGGAAGGTGTCAGCAAGGAGTCATGGCAGTAAAGACCCCCCTGAAGGTTGTGAGTGGGAGGACGGGTAGGAAGGCATTTAAACAGGGGATAGGGTTTTGAACAGAGTGTATGGGGAAACATCCTCTCTAGATGACTCGGTGGCCAAAGCGAAATTGTTTTTATTTCAGGGACAGAAAGGGGACCCAGGGCTCTCACCAGGAAAGGCCCATGATGGGGCAAAGGTAGGTTTCCAGGGTCCCCAGTGCTCAGGGAAGAAGGGAGTGAACAACAGTGGAACCGCCACCCTCTGCGGCCAACTGTCCTGGCAGAGGCCATGCAGGACAGAGACAGGGAGGGGGAAAATCTAGAAAGGTCAGGATGTGGTTTGGTTTTTTTCTTTGAAGTCCTTCATCCTTTCCTGACACCAAGCCCAATGTTGTGTCTGGCCACCCTCCTCCCGGAGTGCACCCCAAAAAAACTGACAGGAGATTTTTGCCTCTGGACACACCCTTGGTGAATGTCCTTTTGCTTGATGTCCCACATGGCTTTTTGCAGGGTCTGCTAGGTGACCCTGGGCATCCAGAAGCTTCTTGGTAGTGCACGCCCAGGAAGCTTCTGACAGACATTCAGTGCCTCCCGAAGCTGTTAATTCTGTGGATTCCAGGAGGTGGGAAGGGAATGGGCTGGAGAGTCAGGGCCCCACGTGGTGTCTTCTGCTGAAGCTCAGTCTGTAGAATAGGCCAGGGGGAGCTACTGAGTCGAGTGGGGCGGGGCTGGGTACTACCCACCCTTCTGCTCTCACCCTACTGGGTGGCCTCTGAGGCTCCTCGGAGACCTCTTGTCCTCCATGAATCCCACATGGAAACCACCGACTGTAGGAGGCCACAATTCCAGTGTGACGAGTTCTCTGCTCCCATTTTCCCACCTCACCCCCCTTGTCTGTGTCTTGCAGGGCGACATGGGCCTGTCTGGGCTCTCCGGGAATCCAGGACCTCCGGGACGAAAGGTACAGCTTGGTTTGGGTGCTTCACCCTGCCAGGGGCTTTCTAGCAAGCCCGGTCTTCAGGCAGGAGAGGACCCACCTCATCCCAGCCCCAGCCATCTCCCTTGGGTGCAGGGTGTGTGGGCAGGTGGTGAGAGAGGGTTGTGCTTGCTGGGGGCACCTTGGCTTGGTTAACGAGGTGTGGCAGGAAGTGTCCTCGGCTTGCTCTACTTCTTCTCCGGGGCCCGCCACACCTGGGGAGGCCACCTTCCAGAAAGCTCGTGGTGATGGAGGAGCCCTGCCCACAGAGCCCGGAGGGCCCCGTGTTGGCCCCAGCCCCCATCCACTAGCTAAGTGGCCTGGGGCCTGCGTGTCACTCTCTGAGCCTCCGTGTGAGACAGAGACAATGATCTCCCTCCCTGACTCCCTCCTCCCCCCGCATGGCCTGGGCTGTGTGACCAGGAGCAAGGCCTGAAGCAGAGCCGTTGAGGGATCGAGTGGGCTTAGGGTCATCTGGACTCCCACCTCTACCATTTTCTGGCAGGGAGACCTTGGGCCAATCAGAAACCTCCCAGGGCATAATATTTGCCCCCTCGCTGATATGCTGCAGGTGAAAGGGGTGATCTGTAAAGGTAGTTGTTTCTCCACACTCCTGGCTTCTGTTATGTCATCGCCATCTCTTCTCTTCAGAGCTACCTCCCCGAGTGCCTGTGGGGGAAAGGCTGCCTTTTCCTGGGAGGAGAGTCTTTAGCTTATGGTACCCTGGATTCCTCTCCGACTCCTCCAGCCAAAATCTCTCATCCTTTAGGACTCTACTCTAGTTGTGGCTTCTCCAGAAAGCCCTCTTGGAGCACCCAGCTTCAGGCCATGAGCCTCCACTCTGCTCCAGGACGCTTGGTCCATCTTAGCTTAGTTGTTCTCAGCTCCAAACCAACCCAGGCATACAAATCTGGTTTGTTGCTCTCCCTACTGAGCCCAGCACGGGGCTTGTGCATGGCAGGTATTCAGGCAACAAGGAGGGCCGTGCAGGCCAAGGGTCAGTTGCTTTTTGCAGGAAAACCCCCATTGCTGACGGGTTGTCCAGTAGATATGTGGGCCCAGCGCCATGTCTCAAGCTTCCGCTCTGATCCCAGCTGTGGCCACAGCCGCCTGCTCTCTGGGCCATCTGGCTTTCATGTGGACAGCTGTTGTGTCTCCTGGCTCTGTCCTGTCCTTGCCTTGAGAGCCCCATGGCACAGGGGGACTTGGAGGATCATGTTCCCCACCCCCTTCCCCTTCACCCTTCATGGCTAGCATAGGCCACACCTCCAATCTGAGAGCCCCACCCCAGACCCAGGCCATGGTTGTCTGGGAGCTGGGAAACATGGTCTTTTCTGGCTCCAAGAACACAGAGGGATGCCTTCTCCCTGTCACCTCCCTGCTGGGCTCCAGCACTTTCTGATGAATGCAGTGTGAGGGGAAAAGGCCCCTTCCAGCCCTGGCTTGTAGAACAACCTGGGGTGGTCTCAGTCTGCAATCTAACAAAGGTGGTGGGAGATTGGGAGACCAGATTTGGCCTGGCTCCTGCCTAGGGCTCCAGGGCTCCCCACACTCAGCAGACTTCCAAGGATGCCAAGAGCCACTGGCTCAGAGGAGCCAACTCACCTAAGCAGGGTGAGGCCACTTGTCTAGGTGAAGGAAGAACCTCCTACAGTTGGAAAACTTCTTGACAAAGCCGTTCACCTTGATTTCCCTCTGGCCCTGGCCCAGGCACATGTAGAGAAGTTTGATCCGTGGCAGAGGCCAGTGTCACCCATGCACAGAGGGTGCTAGGCTGAGCCCAGGGGAGCACAGGTCCCGAGGCAGGGCCCCTAGGCGGTGGGATGGTCTAGGCCTGGAGTCTTCACTGTAAAAAGTCTCTCCTCCCATGTGCATCTTTGGTGACAGCAGCGACCACTGTGCCCTGAGCCTCTAGTGTGGCTTTTTTGCATTATCTCTCTGGGGGTGCCCTGAGGAGGGGGATGTGGGTGGGTGAGAGGTGAAGTCAGCTTCCCCCTTGCTTACCCACACATTGAATTTTTGTATCACTCTGGGGGGATCACCATAACCCTATTCATTCATTGCTTCAGCAAGAATCACTGAATGCCTACTATGTGCCAAGTACTGAACTGAAAAAATAGATAACAGTCCCCGCCCCTTGTGGGAGGTGGAGGAGACAGATCATAGAAAGAAACACAGTAAAAATATAAGGTGAATTTCAAGATGGAAAGGGTTATGGAGAAAAATAAGCAGGAGAGAGGGAGATTGGGTAAAAACGTTCCAGTGTCGCATAGTATGGCAGGTTAGAGGGAGCGACAAGGGTTACTCTCCCTCCTTTTGTTTTTCCCTCCCAATAACCTCCAAGAGTTGGGCAGTATTACGCCTATTTTATAGCTGAGAAAACTGAGGTGCTAATAGAGCTCATTCGTTCGTTCACTCTTATCATTTGTTTTTCACATCATTCAGCAAATATGTACCAATGTACTAGGCCCTGTACTGATGACACTGGTGTGAATGACACAGGAGATCACCATGGACCTCATGGAGGGTGCTATCTGTAGCACTGGCTCCTGACCCCGCTGTGCATTAGAACCAACTGGGGAGCTTGGGCCCCATGGTGGGGATTCTGGTCCAGTTGGAGAGTGGGACCCAGGCATTGGTAGTTCTTAAAGCCCTCCAGGTGTGTTCCCGTGGGCACCCAGGATTGAGAGCCCACAGTTTCTTGGAAACACCTCCCATGGGTCACTAAGCCACAGGGCTGAGATGTGGACTCAGGTCTCCTGACCCTCAGGCCCTTTCTCTGACCACAAGGCTGATAGAAATAGCTTCTCAAACAAGAAAAAGCGTCCATAGAGTACAAAAGAGGCTTGGAGGCTCTTAGGAGAATGCAAATGCACCCAGCCAGATCCTCCTGTTTAGCAAGGTTCATCCCCCTGCTGAAGGACTTTGCTGGGCCTATTTCCCGCCCCCCCCACAGGGCTGGGCCCAGGGGGTAGGGGATGGAAGGAATGCAGACTGGCCAGATAGACCTGGGGGGAATCCCAGCTCCATCCCTCTCCTGCTGTGTGAGCTTGGCCAAGTCACCTTACCTCGCCCAGCCTCAGCTGCCTCATGGGATAGTGGAAGGAGGATTAAATGAGATGTGATAGCCCCGGCACCCTGCAGAGGACTGGCACATGGTAGGCACTTCATATGCATTCGGCAAATGAATGAATGAATGAGTGAATGATCATGATCGCGAAGGAGAAGCAGCTAAAGATGTTCTTGCCCATCTGGTAGCCTGTCATCTCGCGAGTTACCAATGAACCGCCCTCCACTAGCCAGGAAGGCTGCCAGGACCCATCTGCACCACCCCTGCTCCCTAGTCTAACCCTCCTTTCTTCTTTCCTGTAGACAAGTGAGTGACTCTCAACTCGGGGATATTTTGCACCCCAGGGTACAGTTAGCAGTGTCTGGAGAAGAGTTTGGTCATGAGAATTGGGAAGAAGGTGTTGCTAGCTTCTGATGAGTAGAAGCCAGAGGGACTGCTAAACCCTCTACCGTGCACAGGACAGTCCCTTCTCCCCCAGCACACACCACAGAGACACACCAGCCCATTGTGCCGACATTGAGAAGCCCTGCTGTGTAGTAACCCTCGCCCATCCAATCCCGTGTGCTTCGAGCCTTCCTGCCTCCCTGACTTGCACCTGCCGTGCCCTCTCCTGCATCCCCCTCCTATACACGCATCTTCACCTGTCTGTCCCTTGGCTCTGCTCTCAAATGTCATCTTCTCCAGGGGCACCTCCAGGGAGATGTCAGATGTCACACCCATCTTCTCACTCTTCTTTGGGCTGGTGGACGGCCCACTGCTATCGGCTCAGATTGGCCAGAGGACAGAACCCAGCCTGTTCATTTTTGTTTCCCCACATGGGGCTTGGCACAGTGCTGGTCACAGCCGTCTGCTCCGTCCTACCTCTGGCAGGCATCACTAATTGATCTGTCTTGCCAAGTCCTGATACGGCCTGTGAATCTTTGCCAACACACTGCCTTCGAGAGACATATCTTATGGAATGACATTGGTCCTCGAGTTGAAACTTACTTGCTTTTTTCCAGCCTGACTTTTCCCTGACTTCCTACAACTGCCCCCACCATGCCTACAAGGCCTCCCTGTGCCACCTGTGTCGGCCACTGTCTGTGGGAAGTCATGATAAAATGGGAGGGAAGAAGGGGTCATCTGGGAGTGTTTCTGGGGGAGTGTGATTGAGGCGGCTGGAGACAGTCTCCTGCCTGGGTTCCTTAGAGCCCTCTTGAGAACCTTCTACTGGCTGCCCTGCTGCTGAGCTGCTCTGGCCTTCTGTGTCCACAACTGCCGGCGTCTCCTGTCCTATCTCCTGCCTCCCATTTGATCCCTGCACCCCCTCAAGACGGTCTACAATATCACCGTTTCTGACTGGTGGATCTACACTTTCCTAGCCCCGCTTCTTCTCTTTTGTTCCGTTTCAAGTGGTTTGACGCCCACATCCCCTTCTGGAAGCTAGGGAATGAGCGTGTCCTGCTTGTTCTGTTCATCACTGTATCCCTAGTGCCTGACATAGGGCCTTGGTCACTGTGGGGCCTCAGCAAACTTTTGTTGGATGAATGAATAACCGGATACATGAATGAATGAACCATGCAGAAACAGCACCTTCCTATCCTGCCTGGCCTCAAGTGTCCACTGAGCAGAGTTTGGTGTCGGGCACCTGGCTGTTCTGTGATGCACTGTGCCTTTAAACTAGCTCCAGATTTCAGAATCCTGAGCCCATGGGACACTTTGAGAGGCCAGCCGGGGAAACTGAGGCCCAGAGAGACCAGGGGAGTCTGGTCCAGTGTCATGTAAGAAGTCTCTGTACCTCTTGGCAGGTGTTCCTCCCTCTTTGGTTCTGTCCTGCTGACAGCCTCAGGGGAGTTGGGGGCTGCCCAGGTAACAGGTGAGTTCAGTGGGGAGTCTCATGGTGGGCTGAGCAAGTCTGGAGAGTTCCATTTCACCACGAGGGGAGCCCAGGCCTCACACAGGCCGAGGTGGAGCTGGGTGAACAGCTGAAGTCTGAGCACATTTGGGTCCCCAGGACCCCTAGGCAAGGACAAGACCCCTCCCCTACCCAGAGCCTGCCCACAGCCCAAATAGCATCCCAGCCAGACGGGGAGACGGTCTGTAGCAACAGTGAGGTGATGTCTGGTTTCTCCTTGCGCATTGTAAGCAATGATTAATCTGGCTCCCAAACCAAAATATAGACCGAGCTCTATTATAAACACAGGTCCTGTGGAGACCCGCCTGCTGGGCGGCCAGAGGCCCCTTGCAGGCGTCGTGGTCCCTGGAGGTCCCGGAAGCCTTCCCTCATCCATAGTACCAGTCAGGCCTCACTCACAAACTGGGCAGTCACAGCCCACGGGTCCACCTTGCGGTCAGCACCCGGCCCGTAATTGCTGGGGCACTGGAGAAGATCATGGTTTAGATTCTTCCAGGTCCTGGGGCCCTGTCATTTGGAGTGATTTGCTGACTCCGGCTTGGTAAACACCGTTGAGATTCATCCAGGGAGCCTGAGTACCTTTCCCCTTCCCTCAGTTTGGCTGTGCTCAGTTTCTGCTGCTCCTGGCCATCTGGGAGAAACTGGGGTATTCATGGCAACATTCGAGGCCCTTCTGGGTCCATTGATCAAGAGAGACCTAGAAACTGGCGTCTTGTAGTCAAAGCACAGCTCAGTGGATCTAGAGTCCTGGGGAATAGTCTGGGCTTGACCATAACTTGCTAGGTAACTTTGGATAAGTCCCCTCCCCTCTCTGAGCCTCAGTTTCTCAGTCTGTCTAATGAGATGAGATAGGAGGTTGTCAACCTGATGACTTAGATCCCATCCAACTCAGATTCTCCAGGGTTACACGACTGACCTCTGCCCCAGTAACACTGTAATGATCCAAGAGCTGTCCCGGGGAGGTGCGTCTATGTGGGGGTCGCTCCTTGAGTGACCTCATGGCTCTCCTAGGTAAGGCTCAGGGTTCCATGAGTATGCCTCATCCCATGATTTGGTGGTTGAGGACACAGAAATTGGAGCCACAGGTCTGGTGCTGCCCCAGGAAAGTCTCCTTGCCTCTCTGAGCCTCAGTTTCCTCAACTAGCAAACGCACATGGTAACTCTTACCTCTTAGGGGTGATTGCAAGGAGTTGCTGGCTGAAGACTTTAGTCCTGAGCCAGGCATAGGGCCAGCCACTGTAGATGTCCCTGTAATCATTTCCTTTCTTTCAGCCGCATCCCGAGTAGTGGGTTTCTGTGAAATCTGTGATTTCACCAGAGACACTTCTCTGCTTCCTTTGGGCTGGGGGTGGGGGGCAGGGACTAAAGAATTGGTTTTCTGCAAGGTTCATTTGTGGCTGCAGAGGAAGCTGCAAGAACTGTTGATGGCCAGGGCCCCCCGTATCCCCATTTGGGGTCCGTGCCCAGTTATTCCAATGGATCTTGGCAGTAACCCCTGAAGGCGAGCAGAGGATAGCGGGTGAGGTTCAGAGGACAACTGCCCAGGCAAGTCACGCAGCCTGTGTGCAGGGCTCAGTTTAGCTCATCACTGGGAAGAGGCTTTGCTTATCCCTCCTCATCTGCAAGCTCCACATGGAAAAATGAGGCTCGTGGCTGTTAGTTGCATCCTGTCCTGCTGCACCTGCTCAGAGCCCTCCTGTGGCATCCCGTCACATCCCGCCAATATGCGCCGATCTCTTGCTGCTTCTGTTCTGAACTTCCGCAACTCTTCATCCTCTTCACTCATTCTGTTCCAGTCACACAGGCAGGCTTATGCCTCCTTGAGAGCATTCTTGCCTCAGGGCCTTTGCACTTGCTGTTCCCACTGCCTGCAATGCCTTTCCCCAGGGAGGCAGCTCTAGTCCGGCTCTTCACTCTCACCTCAGAGCGGCCTCCCCCACC